AGAGTATGGCATGCCCCTGTGTGGAGGGGAAGAGCTTTGAGTTAGACATTTTCCCTATGGGAATCCTCTTGGTTTGGTTTGTGGGAAGAGGGAGTGGATAAGTGGTTTTTATTTCTAGTCATCAACACAGCTGTCCTCACACTAAATTTGTGCTATTGCATACATGTAGCCATCTTTCTTTTCACTGCAGCAGTGTTTATCAGTAGTTCAAATGATTTATTTGCTCCTGGGGAGTAAAACCTTTTTTATTAAAAAGAAAAAAAAATTAAAAAAAAAAAAAAAGAAAGAAAGGTGTGCCCCATTATGATAGCTGTAGAATTACTGGGCCACAAGAATCAAGTCTGCAAGTCCCCGTGGTACATCCTGTTTTGGCATTGGAGCCTTTGTGCTCAGTACAGAGTGCCAGGAGGCCTTCCTTGAAGCAGTGGAGAACAGCGTTTGGGGAGGGAGATGGGATCGAATCAGCGAGAGCTCTGGGACTCGGACAGCAGTTGAAAATAGAGTGCTGGTTCTGTAATCTGCCAGAGAAGGGGCCTTTCTTCACATGCAGATTCCATGTGTCCTTGACCTTTCATTGCTTCCCTGTCCTCTTGTCTTTCCTGTCCTTTGTCCTGTCCCTTCCCACTTCATCTACCTCCCGGAAAGCCAATCCTGCATGCCGAGTTTGTGACATGCCTCCACTCCCATTTCATCTTCAGAGGGCTCAGAGGGACCCTGGAGCTGCTCCGGGCCCCCTGGGCCCCCTGAGCCTCCTCAGTGCCGAGAGGCAGGCGTCAAGAAGTCAAGGAAAGCAGCCAGCTGTGGCGGGCGGACAGCAACATTGGATCGCAGCTGGACTGCGATGGCAGCTGCTTCTAGAGACAGATAGGGAAACCGAGACATTCTTCCTCAGCCCACAGGGGACCCCTGCTGTGCACACTGCTCAGTGGACAGTGGGCTGCCCTGACCACTCCATCCCTGGTGCTCCCGAGAGGGACAGGCAAGACCCAGGCGCCACTCTGGGCAGGCCAGACGTCGAGATGCCCACACTGGTGCTGCATGGCACAGACACTGTGCATTCTGGTAGTTTTTCAGAGACTGCGTGCTGAGGGGTGTCACTGGACTCAGTGGTTAGGGGGTTCTTCACCAGAGGGGAGCCATACCCCTGCAACCACTCCGTCCTGCTTAGCCACCCCTGCCCTCCGAGCCAAAGCGTGGCCTGGTGTCTGTCTTCCCATTTAGTTTTCCTCCTTTATTCTCCCTTTTTGTGCTTAATTTATTAAAATAGTTGCTGTATAATTTATTTTCATAAAGTATAAAAAATAACTAAATGGTTAAAATAGACTTGCAGGCCAATCTTAAATGGGTGGGGGGTCTGGGGTGGGATGGGGAGAGGGAAAGATGTTTTGATATAAACAAAACAAATGCACTTTGGGTGTGTTTTGGTATTTTTCTGGGCATAGAGGGGTGGGTGTTGGGATGTCCCTGTAGATTAGTTCCAGAATGGGGTGTCTGTAAATACTGTATTAATAGGCATGTTTGACTCTTGTAAAGGGACATTAGTAGCTGCTGCAGGTCCTGTTTGGAAACCCTGTGTATAATTCCCAGTTTTTTGTAAGTGTCAGTGCGGGAGACATTTGACTCTTGTGTTTGTATCTCCTTTTTATGATTGCTGTACCGACCCATGTCTTTTTGGGGAGGGATGAAAAGAGATTTGAAATAAAAATGTTTAGAAATGATCTGTTACTGGAATTTGTGTTTTTCAGTCTCTCTCCTGACTCTTCATCTACTCTCGGGCATGGCAACCATGCAGAACACACCCAGTGCCATCTTTTGAGTTGTTGGAAAATTCCTGAGGCTCATGGCCACTGCCCAGATCTGCCTTAGAAAGTGCAGGAGCATTCCAGAGAGCCTTGGGGAGAGAGGGCAGGTGTCTGAGCCTTCCTGTCTGGGTGTGGAGTGGCACTTTTATGTGGCAGTAGCCATCCTGGTGAGGCTAGCCAAAGGCTTCCTGGCAGCTTTTCCAGTCGTCCCCCCCCCCCAGGTTTGGGGCAAGGCTGTCACTTTCCTGATTGATGCAGGTGTGTACTGGGAACCACTGACCCCACCTACCCTTTCCCTCAGCCTTTTGCTTCCTGCTGAATTCTCTGGGCCAATGTGCTGTAGGTTTCCTGCTGAATTCTCTGGGAAGCCTCATCACTGGGCTAGGCAGAGGCGGGCCTCTAGGAGTCTCTGCTGGCCCCAGTTCTGGGGATGCCGCCCTTGTGATGAAACTGGTCCTCGGTCCTCATAGTCTGACCGTGACAGGAATGCCTGAGTAAAATGTCCTTTGTTCTTGAAAGAAGAGGTAGCTCCAACAATAAATCAACATACTACAGGGAGGCTTCACTAGCCATTTGGGAGCCCATCACAAGAGATCTTGGCCAGAAGCACCTGAGCTTGGCAGGCCTCTTCTAGAGTGTTAAAGTGTGTTATCAAAGTTTACTTTCCAAATGTAGCACTAATTTTCATTGTTCTAATTCCAGATCACTCAACCTGGTGAGGCCTGTTGGATTCTAAGCTTAGGAAAGCTAGATTTGGGTCCCCTCTGACTTGGGCCATAAAACCCTTGGAAGATGAGCATCCCTTTGTAAACTTGGGCACAAAATGTTTTTTACAACTTGAAACCACCTCTTAACCTCCTGTGATCTTGTCCACTGTGGCTACTACCTTTTGTCCCAAAGGCTGTCCTGTCTCCTACCATGGCAGAGCTCATCATGCACATGCTTGACTTACAAGTCCTTGGCGAGGAACGGTGTAGAAGATCTCCTGCTGTTCTGTCCCATGTTCCTCAGCGGCCGGCAGGAACCTAAGGAAAGTGTTTTTCCATCTTTCCTCCTCCCACATCTCAGTATGAGCATCTTACACCTAATGACTCTTCTTTTACATATTTGTGCCAACTGCACTCTGAGCACCCATAATTTTTCTCTGTTCAGCCAAAAGCTCAAAGAGTTCGTTCAAGCTCACAAGTGAGTTGTCATGTCATTGGGATTCCTTCCCAAAGGATTCAGAAGGGTTTTTTGTTTGTTTGTTTGTTTGTTTGTTTGTTTGTTTGTTTGTTTTTCGAGTTAGGGTTTCTCTGTGTAGCTTTGCGCCTTTCCTGGAACTCACTTGGTAGCCCAGGCTGGCCTCGA